GAATATGTTTCCAGGAATGAATGTTCTATGCTAGAATTCCCCCAAGGAGATCAGAAGAGGTTGTGGGTACGAACTCAATATTTTTATTAAAAAGAGATGTTTAGTTTCCTAAAATGAAGTTATAGTTGCGAAAGTGTCCAGGCAAATCTTAAAATAGAAGTACGAAATAATTCTGTTGATAATCCAGGATGGTACAACTGTGGTGTGTTCAGATGTCAGGCTATATGTCGCTATCCACGCATACACAAGTAGGAAGGAGGAAGTTTTGTCAACGCCTCAATCATCAACAATAAAAGTTGTGAAAAAGGCAGTTACCCGGTAGTAAATAATACTGACCTGACAAACCAGTGACTGATAACATAGGCAACCTCTGCCTTTAAGCATCCACGCTGCTGTGGGGTGGCCTAGTGGTTAAAGCATTCGCTCGTCACACTGAAGTCCTGGGTTCAATACCCTATGGGTACATTGTGTGAAATCCATTTCTGGTGCCCCCCGCCATGATATTTCTGGAATATTGCTAAAAGTGTAGTAAAACTATACTCACTCTCACAAGCTGCTGAGCCTGACCACCCAGTATGACATATACTAGTAACACTTGTGTGAATGTTACAGACATGTCCTCTTGTTTTCAGTTGAACATAGCCTCATGAACAAAGTGTACATCGCAGACCATAAGGTGCAGACATTACTGTCTTATTAAGAAACAGACAACATATACTTCATATGATCAAGAAGTTTAATTCACTTTCACTGTGCAGGGCAGCACAAACAGTATCTTTCTTCACAAAACCCTTCAGATCGGAACTGCCCAGATATACACCACCTCAGAACAAATCATTTCAGATCTATTAATCCAAGTTGGTTCAAAATACATGTATAACGAGCAACATCAGCTTCTGTCTGTGCATGTTTCATGTAAATGTAAACAGGAAGATTCTGTTAGTCTTTTACAGACAATGACAGAATCAAGAGTACCAGCCATTGTCTGTGAGTGTTTGCACCGAGAGGGATTCCTTTGGTTCTTTGAAGGCATAGGAAGCAGTTAACTCAAACACTGGTCCTTGACAGGATTAGTCGTCTTGACTATCTTATTTTACCCCATTTGGTCATAGAATGAAGTCCTTCCTGCTCACCTGTCCATCAGCGATGAAGTATTCAATCATCATTTGAAAGACGGCATTAAACTCTGACCTTAGCACCAACATTGTCTAAGGTCATTGATGAAGTATTCAACAGTCTAAACTGAAAGACGGCATTAAACTCTGACCTTAGCACCAAAATTGTCTAAGGTCAGTGTTGAAGTATTCAACAGTCTAAACTGAAAGACGGCATTAAACTCTGACCTTAGCACCAACATTGTCTAAGGTCATTGTATTCAACAGTCTCCAGTGATATCAGTCATAACACTGTAGCCATAGCACCAAAACTATTTACATTCACTGTTGAAGTACTTACAGTCTCTAGGTATGACACTCCAAATCTTAGTGCCAAGACTAACTTTTGTCCGCGTTCAACTATTCAGCAGTCTCAAGTGGTAACAGTCATAACACTATGAAATCAGTGCCAAGATGATCTAATGTCAATGCCAAGCTATGACAGTCAATATCCTAGCTTAGGTCAATATGGAAGTACATGCCAGTCCAAATGCTATGATCTTAGAACCAACACTACCGGTGGTCTGTACTCCAGTATTTGACAGTTGTCCAAATGCTTTGATCACAGTGCCAAAGACTACCTAAGGTCAATATTGAGTGAGTGAGTTTAGTTTTACGCCACACTCAGCAATATTCCAGCTATATGGCGGTTGTCTGTAAATAATCGAGCCTGGACCAGACAATCCTGGGATCAACAGTATGAGCATCGATCTTCGCAATTGGGAACCGATGACATGTGTCAACCAAGTAAGCGAGCCTGACCACCTGATCCCGTTAGTCGCCTCTTACAACAAGCATGGGTTACTGAAGATCAATATTCTAACCCAGAAGGTCAATATTGAAGTGACTGACAGTCGAAGTGTTATAAACTTAAGAGTCGAAAACTGGCTGATGTTAGTACTGAAGTATCAGTTAAAATGTTATTATCTCAATGCTAGAACTATCCTAAGTTTACAACACTCCTGTTTCATAGGTATACAGGGTATGACAAAATATCAACCGATTCCTTTTATAACATACTTTCTCAGTGTAACTATGTGCTCAATCTTGTGAAAACATACCACTGTATTTGTGATCTATATCAGCCAGAATACATAGGATTATCTCATCAAAACTAATAAAACAAATTATGCTGAAATAACATGTATACTCAACAAAATTAGAAACTTGACACTCAGCTTATTGGTAATAATTGTGAGGGTGGGTGGGGTGGGTGGGGTGTGTAATTCACTTTTTAGTTTCTTCTTTTGCCACACACACACCAGTGGCATCCAAATTGTTTAAACATGGCCTTGGTGACTGACATATAAATATTGGTCAAAAGATGTGAAAAGAACAACCAGACAGGTATGCAGATATTGCTAAACAGGAAAATACATGAAAGTTGCAAGTTTATGTAAACAGGCCAATCAGCAACGTGAGCATGCCATGGGTAAGCTTAATGGTGGACAATCAGCTGCAGCAGCTGCACGAGCCCTTGGTATCATTCAGTATTTTCAGGATAACTTGTTCCGATGGCTTCTCCTGTCCATGAGAGGACGATGTGTTGCCATCACTGCCGATATGGTCTGTGTCATCTAACTTCTTGCATTATTATATTAATACAATGATGCCACAATCCATTTTTCATCTGTATTGTTACCTGGATGATAGCAGTATGACACACGTCTATTTACATACACACAATACATTCACTGTCGAATTCAATGTAACAGGAGTCAAGTTTCTAATTTGGTTGAAAAGATGTCACATTTAAAAACAATCCAAGGAGTACTTAACAGTGCTGGGATGACTAAATTCTCAAGTCTTCATAATATCCATCACAGGTTATATGAGTTGCACACAAAAACTGTGGCATTTTTTCGTTTAAAGAACATATCATGTCAGTGTGTAATTGAAAAGCTTGAATAAATACAACTACATGTTGTTCATGAATTAAAACCAAACTAGATATATGCATTTCCTGTTCTCAGGGAACAATGAATTACCATCCAACACTGGAGAAGCCCACAAGCACAGGTGTGGTACTGCCAAGTCATGCAAAACCCCCTACAGTCATAAGTTTCTGGCACACCTAAGGGTGACAACTCTGCACAGAGAACTGTGCTTCCCCAATTATGGCTGGCCCTTCTATGTTGCTCAAACAAGTTTTCAAAGTCAGACCCTAAATTAAATAAGTATTTCTCTTGAGTTTTATCACATGCAAATACTTGAGTCATTTAATTAAGCCCCGGTAATCATGTCAATATGACCATCAGCTGTGATATCACAGTAGCATATAGGGGAGTCAACCATCCAACTCAAACATATATTGACATATTGATACATGCATCAAAGATACCATGGAAAGAAATCACAGACAGCATTTTAATCTGTACAATAAGGTCTAGGTTTGTGAGTGAATCAGCAGTAAAATATTTTAATGACTGCAATGTTATCCTGTTCATCAAGCCTCTCTTTGGCTTCAGTTCAGCCTTCCTTTACTAAGTACTTGGGACGAGTAACCTGTAGGCACTAAGAACAACCCTGTAATTACTTTTTTTCGAAATAATCTCAGTGGCTGATAATTAGTGTTGGGAATCGGAAACCAAATCTACTATCGATTATCGGAGCAATTGTGGTGAACGATCATTGATTATACTTGAAATATACACATTTTTAATGTAATCACGAATTTTAAGGGTTTTCCCCCAGTTTTTTTTCTAATTAATGTTTTTTATAACCAATACTGTATGGAATGAAATGCATGCATGCAAGAAAGACACCATTCTCTTCCCACAGAAGTTACTCCTGTCATATCTTCCTATGTAACCTGTTCTAATACGGCCCTTTCATGGGGTGAGCGTTCAAGACTCGTGATTGGAGGCAATCAGATTTAGTTGTGCAATCGGCGACGTTGTTTCAAAAGTGATCATTCGCAAGGCCTCAGTAATTTCCGTATGCTTCGAGAAAACTAAACCTCTTCCCCTGCGCGATGCGCAAACGTTTCTTCTAGACAGAACTCAGTCATGTTATGGCGGATCAGTGGCGTCTCCATCGCCCTTGTTGACAACGGACAAGCTAGCCATTAAACGTCTTGTGTGTAATATCAACACAAGTCCCCGGCAGATGGGGGATATTTGTGGCCTCACATTTGCTTGTGTTAGTCAAGTTGAATCTAAGTCGATGTAACACGTGTTCTGATTGGATAGAAAGAAGGGAGATAATTTGTGTTGCGATTTTTTGCCGCTAGGGGATTTTACGAGAACCGGAAAATATGGCCATATTAGAACAGAGGTTGGTAGGAAGATATGACAAGTAACCTCTGTGGGAAGAGAATGGAATGACACTGGAATTGTAATTAAACAATAAAAGTGGTTAAAATTTTACAATGCACATAGCTTTACGCTGTTGACTGCGTGTTTGTTCGTGAATATTCCTCATCTATTGCCAAATTGACATAAGGAACACAGAGTAGTTCCATCACACCACCTATTGAGGAAATGATATGAGCTACAAGTAGCCCCCTAGACACATCACCTATTGAGTAATGATATAAGCAACAAGTAGTCCCCTAGAAACATCACCTATTGAGTAATGATATAAGCTACAAGTAGTCCCCTAGACACATCACCTATTGAGTAATGATATAAGCTACAACTAGTCCACTAGACACATCACCTATTGAGTAATGATATAAGCTACAACTAGTCCCCTAGACACATCACCTATTGAGTAATGATATACGCAACAAGTAGTCCCCTAGACACATCACCTATTGAGGACACATTATAAAGAACAAAAAGTAGTCCCCCCAGAAACGTCACCCAAGGACTTGTTTTATGAGCAAACACTGTGAAAACAATACACTGGAGATGTTTCTTTATTGACATATCTAATACTGACAAAGCCAAGCTACACTGTCTGCTGAATGACCTTGTCTATTGCTGTGGCACAACATCATATGCTGTTAGGTGGTCAGTTTGTATGTACAATAGGATGGGATTTTCAAAGTCACTCCCGAAGCACAACCTTGTCATTGGCGAACTTGAGTCTAGCACAGAACAAAATGTTTGTCTTCGGTATGTCAAGCCTGGAAAATGATAATCGGTTTTGCTGAATTCTGACAGTTCAAATACAATACACTCAAAGTCGAATGTCTGGATAGTTCTTAAAGTTGAGACGAGAGGTTATCTGCCCTTTGTCTGTTTCCATGTGTGTGGTGTTGAGATGTCTGTTTTCAAGTGCTCAGCAAGTTGGTTCCCTGGAAGCCTCTCTCTGGTTTTGATGACCCTGCAACAATAACCACGGATGAGACACACAACAGCTTCAAGCTGGATCAGGCACAGCACTCACACACAACAGCTTCAAGCTTGGTCAGGGACAGCACTCACACACAACAGCTACAAGCTGGGTCAGGCACAGCACTCACACCCAGCAGCTTCAAGCTGGGTCAGGCACAACACTCACACAACAGCTTCAAGCTGGGTCAGGCACAACACTCACACACAACAGCTTCAAGCTGGGTCAGGCACAGCACTCACACACTCACAGCTGGGTCAACAACACTCACACACAACAGCTTCAAGCTGGTCAGGCACAACACTCAGGGGTCACAGCACTCACACACAACAGCTTCAAGCTGGGTCAAGGCACAGCACTCACACACAACAGCTTCAAGCTGGGTCAGGCACAACACTCACACACAACAGCTTCAAGCTGGGTCAGGCAGGCACACACAACAGCTCAAGCTGGGTCACACAGCACTCACACACAACAGCTTCAAGATGGGTCAGGCACAGCACTCACACACAACAACAGCTTCAAGCTGGGTCAGGCACAGCACTCACACACAACAGCTTCAAGCTGGGTCAGGCACAGCACTCACACACAACAGCTTCAAGCTGGGTCAGGCACAGCACTCACACACAACAGCTTCAAGCTGGGTCAGGCACAACACTCACACAACAGCTTCAAGCTGGGTCAGGCACAGCACTCACACACAACAGCTTCAAGCTGGGTCAGGCACAGCACTCACACACAACAGCTTCAAGCTTCAGGCAAGCTGGGTCAGGCACTCACACACAACAGCTTCAAGCTGGGTCAGGCACAGCACTCACACACAACAGCTTCAAGCTGGGTCAGGCACAGCACTCACACACAACAGCTTCAAGCTGGGTCAGGCACAACACTCACACACAAAGGCTATAAGCTGGGTCAGGAACAGCACTCACACACAACAGCTTCAAGCTGGGTCAGGCACAGCACTCACACACAACAGAGGCTACAGTTCAGATGACATTTGAAAACCACTGACATCCATCTGATTGAGTAAAACATGAAAACACCATAAGTCATCGTTAATTTGACCAATACGAATAAAAACACTTTGGAGGCATGTAAATCTATGTGTAATGCAATGGGCAGTATCTGAGCAATATCAACAGAGTTATGCCCCTTGCATTCTGCACAGTGTTTGTGCCAGTGCCAGACAGAAGTGACACAAAATGAAGAATGTTTGCATGAAAAAGTGTTAGCATCAAGTGAGGATGAGAGATGGGAAGTAATATGAAAGACATAGGTAGCACAAGCGAGAATGGGTGACAAAATGGTCTCACCTCTATATATATCCTCTATGGGATATGCTTCTTCAGATGGCTCGTCAGCCTAGAACACAGGAATACATGTTACAGAAAGCACACGCCATACACGATCCTGTTAATAAATCTTGATTTTAATTCAAACCAACACTTTTGAAACACTTTTGTCAGAACAATGTCCATAACAAACACACATAAGTTACCTTAAACTAAAGCACATTGTTACCTTCGCAAATGAGATTAAATATATAGGCATAAGAGGTCAAGAATGGTGTTACTGACGGACCTGTTACGTAGTTGGAAGATAATTCTGACACCAACATGGTTGATTCACCTGCAGTAGGATGACACAATTATGGACAATGTAGTCGACTCACCTGTTGTAACGTACAACTTTATGGATGACAACTTCTTGTTTATTAAGTTAAGCAACCTTTCGATGTAGATTCTTACATCGTTATCAAGCCAAAAGTGATGGAAGAATTTACATAGAAATGTCGCTTAACGCAATAAACAAGAAGTTGTAATCCATAAAGTTGTATGTTTCATTTTTTGACTCACCAACTTCTAGAATGCCGATCAAACAATCACCTGTTGTATTGTGACACATCCAAGGAAGAACAGCTGACTCACCTGTTGTATTCTGACACAATGTAGGATGAGTGAGTGAGTGAGTTTGTTTTAACGCCGCACTCAGCAATATTCCAGCTATATGGCGGCAGTTTGAAAATAATCAAGTCTGGATCAGAAAATCCAGTGATCAACAGCATGAGCATCGATCTACGCAATTGGGATACCATGACATGTGTCAACCAAGCCAGCAAGCCTGACCACCTGATCCCTTTAGTCGCCTTTTGCGACGAGCATGGGTTACTGAAGATCAATTCTAACCCGGATCTTCACGGGTCAATGTAGGATGAACAGTAGACTCACCTGTTCTATTCTGACACATCCAAAGATAAAGCTTATTCTGGCACATCCAAGGATATACAGCTGACTCACCTGTTCTATTCTAACACATCCAAGGATATACAGCAGACTAACCTGATGTATTCTAACACATCCAAGGATGAACACCTGACTCACCTGTTGTATTCTGATACATCCATGAATACTACAGCTGACTTACCTGCAATAGGATGACAGCACCAGGAGATACCTTCAGATCTTGTAGCGTACTGGAGTCATCGATTAGGTTCACTCCATCGAGAAATAGGTTCTGGTCAAATGGTGGCACGGAGAACTGCTTCATTATCTGAAAGTACCATCAAGGTACAGATTACCACACTAAACTCTCAGGCAGATAACAGACATTACTTCCTGTCTATTTAGGATGCCACACTGTGTATATCGTCAGCAAAAGTCAAAATCTGACTGACCTTTATTTTCAAGTCTTTGAGGGTCAGATCAGATGAGACAAGCACCTCTTTCTCTCCACGTGTCTTCCGATGTCTCTGACTCCTCCTCTTGAGTGATCCCACCTCCTCCATCTTCATCATCTTCTCTGTCAGTGACTCTTCATCCAACTTCTTCTTCTTGGCCTGGGACTGTTGGGGAGGAGAAAGCATGATGTGGTGGATAAAAGCCTGACCCCAGTAATATCAACAACATTTGATCCCTGGCCACTTCACCCTCGCCACAATGTCGTAACTATACACAGCCCTGTCTGGGCACATGGAGTGAGTGAGTGAGTTCCTGGACATAGTTGTATACAAGCCACACATATATCTAGACAGATATAAAAGTTGGCAGTAGTTGACAGTAAGCTGGCACATAATCAGCCCAGTCATTAACTGTAACCACCGATCTCTTACAAGCTGAGAAGATATCCCAGTCAGGACCCACTGTGTGAATACAGGCTGTATCAGTTATTGTGTGTGTGTGTGCGTACGTGCGTGCGTGTGTGTGTGGAGAGAGAGAGAGAGAGAGAGAGAGAGAGGGAGAGAGAGTGTGTGTGTGTGTGCATGCGTGCGTGTGTGTGTGGAAAGAGAGAGAGTGTGTGTGAGTGCGTGTGTGTGTGGAGAGACAGAGAGGGAAAGAGAGAGAGAGAGTGTGTGTGTGCATGCGTGCGTGTGTGTGTGGAAAGAGAGAGAGAGAGAGAGAGAGAGAGAGAGAGTGTGTGTGTGTGTGTGTGTGTGTGTGTGTGTGTGAGAGAGAGAGAGAGAGAGAGTGTGTGAGTGTGTGTGTTTATTACCTGAAGATAGTCGGGGTCCTCAGCCCTCTCCAAGTTACTGTTCTCTCCATTTCCCAAGCCTTTCGGCATGACCTTCTCCAGTGGTGCCGGGCCCACACCATTCTTCTTCTCTTGGGCTATCTTTCGGACATACACAACAGAGTCCTTGAAGATAAACCGGTTAGATTCTTCTGTTGCTAATCTATGAGACAGACAGTCCTGGCAGATTTCTGGAAGAGAATATTTGCCATTTTATATTGATTTTGAAAAATGTAACAAACTGTATATCTACTTGGAAATGTAACAAACTGTATATCTACCTGGAAATGTAACAAGGCATCTGGATCCATCAGTCTCCTCAAGCTGAACGGCAGTGACCTCAACATCGAAGCCCATGTGCTGTATCAACATCGCCCACTCTGATGGCCACAGCAAACTAACACTACAACACAAGCAATGAATTCGCCATGAATATAACTAAGACTTATTGCTAAGTCATAAATACATTTTCTCCTTTGCATAAGCATAAAATAGAATAGACCATAGAGGTATCTTTTGCATGCCTAAATTTTCAGATACCTCAGTCAAAGTGATCTGAAATTGAAATAAAAAATGACATTAAGAGCATAAGAGAACATAACAGCTAGGCATTTTATATTCAACATATTGTTTGCAAGATCAAATGACAATTTGCAACAGCAGCCATATTTGAAATCTGCATGTATATCTCATTTTGAAGGCTTTTCTGTTTCAGTTAATAGCCTTAGTTGCCAATAATGGTTTTTAATCATACTATATTTTAGCAGTGTGATGATCACAATTATATAAGAATTTGTCCAAATTCATGGTTTTATCAGCTATTTCGGCTTTCATAGGACCCAAGAAATCACCTCATTTCAATGTAGACTTCTAAATTTAATGCCTTTTCAAGCCTCACTTAACTTTGATATAAATGCATAGGCTCCTGGGGCCCTATACTACCCAGTGGGAGTGGGGTAGCCTAATGGTTAAAGCGTCTACTCGTCATGCTGAAGACCAGGGTTCAATTTCCCACATGGGTATGTGTGAAGCCCATTTGTCATGTCCCCTGCCGTGGTATTGCTGGAATATTGCTAAAGCAGCATTAAACAATACTCACTTACTCACTCAGCCTATACTACCCAGATGCCCCATGGTGAGGCCAGCATAGGTTGCAAGGGCCCTATTTCGTATGACACAAGCTCACATGAACCTTCCATCCAAGCAAGCTACACTGCAGTTTGTTTCCATTGGGTATTAAAACATGGATGCGACAATAAGATAAGTCAAATGCTGACTCACCAGTCCTGAAGTTCACCATGGCCATTGAGTGTTGGTGGGAAGAGGAGGCCGCCATGCTCGCACAGGAGAAGAGTGTTAGCGATAGATGTGACAGGCTCCCGTCTACCATTGTCCCTGTGCACAACATATTACACACATGATTAATTCTCTCTTTATTCCAGTACTGAGGAGGCCACAGGCCTATTGTACACAGTATGATAACAATAAAGGCATACAAGCACAATGTTTGCAAATGTTGTTTTCTATGTACAAAAGCAGGTGGATATACCTACCAAGTTTGCGAATATAAGTTGTGTTATTGGAGTTCATTAACAAATTAAATTTAAACATGGTAAAATATGAAGGGTAATATTGTGGCAGATATTTTGTCCTTCAATCAGTGTAGTAAGGACATACTAGCTAAAAAAAACCCCAAATATAAAAGTACTGTAAAAAGTGGATTTGGGTGACTGTATTAAAGATGAATTCCAGGTTTGAATGTACATATTTTTTAATTATAAAATGACTTTGGGCAGGTAATCTTTTGCGACAGAAATACCTGACTAAACCCACAATGATTTAGTAAATTTCTAACATCACACATGATTAGTTATTCAACATAGGTCATTCACACAAAGTTCAAATAGTAATAATTTCCCAACCTTCAGCATTATTGACACTACCACTGATGTAATACAGATACCACTGTTTCAGTACAGAAGACATATTCTTTGATAACAGATAATAGCAATGTGTGGATACCTCATCCATTTGGTTGCCTCCTTTGACCAGTATAAGATATTGGGCCTTACACCAATCAGGTATCCTGAGGCCAGCATTTGGAGCCCCATTCCAAGCCAGATACTCTACAATAAGACCAGCATAGGTTTCTGGATCCCTATTCCAGGAAATCCTATGGTGAGACCATCGTAGTTTGCAAGGGCCCTATTCCAACTCAGATACACCACGGCGAGGCCAGCATAGGTTACAAGGGCCCTCTACTACCCAGATGCCCCATGGTGAGGCCAGCATAGGTTGCAAGGGCCCTATTCCAACTCAGATACACCACGGTGAGGCCAGCATAGGTTACAAGGGCCCTCTACTACCCAGATGCCCCATGGTGTGGCCAGCATAGGTTGCAAGGGCCCTATTCCAACTGAGATACACCACGGCGAGGCCAGCATAGGTTACAAGGGCCCTCTACTACCCAGATGCCCCATGGTGAGGCCAGCATAGGTATTCAAGCGTGACGATCCCGGTTAGAATTGATCTTCAGTAACCCATGCTTGTCGTAAGAGGCGATTAACAGGATCGCGAGGTCAGACTCGTGACTTAGTTGACACAAGTCATTGTATCTCAATTGCGTAGATCGATGCTCAAGCTGTTGATCACTGGATTGTCTGGTCCAGACTCGATCATTTATGATTATGTTTATATTAAGTTTTAATCGATTGCATGCGATTGTAGCGTAGTGATCAGCAAAGCAGGCAGGAAGGGTACACCGAAGTGACCTTGTCATAATGTATTGTACTGTGAAGCATTTCGAGTCGGGGGTCATCTCAAAAACAATATTTTTTAATCATTAATCCTTGCAAAGACACGAGGGCCTGTGACAGTGAGGCCAGCAAAGTTGCTTAAGTCCTATACCACCCAGATACCCCACAGTGAGGCAAGCAAAGCTCCTTGGAACCTATACCACCCAGATACCCCACGGTGAGGCAAGCAAAGTTCCTTGGACCCTATACCACCCAGATACCCCACGGTGAGGCAAGCAAAGCTCCTTGTGCCCTATACCACCCAGATACCCCACGGTGAGCCCAGCAAAGCTCCTTGGACCTTATACCACCCAGATACCCCACGGTGAGGCAAGCAAAGCTCCTTAGACCCTATACCACCCAGATACCCCACGGTGAGGCAGGCAAAGCTCCTTGGACCCAATACCACCCAGTAACCCCACGGTGAGCCTAGCTCCTTGGACCCTCTATGGCTCAGATACCCCACAGTGAAGCCAGCAAATATGCTTGGGGCCTATACCACCCAGATATTCCAACCCAGATACAGGGTGCTAGGGCACTGTTCTTACCAGGAATCCCATGAGTACCCTAACAGACTGACTAGTCCCTGCCACTCACTTGATGAACTTCCTCCACTCTTCAAGGAACACTGCACTGACCACATTCACCTGCTGGTTCACATCCAACTTGGGCCCGGTTCCTCCCAGCAAAGAGGTCAGCCAGCACTGACTTCTGTGTAAGAGCGCTCTGTCGGTACACACCCTTGGTGTGCTCCTCCTCTGCTGTCAGTCGCTGCAACAGAGCTTAGTTAGATTGTCTGTTTGCAACCCTGCACAACACTTAGCAGGGCAAAACGTTAAGAAAAAACGAATTTGATATCCTTTATATAATAATCATTTATAACTAAGACCAGACCAATTAGATTTCTTGTATTACGGATTTTTGTCCTCAGAAAACATAAAGGCAGGAGGGAAAAAAAATATTCCTTCTAAATATTAGAAATATGTATTTTTTTAAGTAAAATTGATAATTTTATACTTATCCTGACTCATGATTTTTTGGTTATCTCCCTTTCCCTTGCGAATGGTAGTGGAACACTTGAATGCCTTGAAGTTCCCGAAGCGGACGTATAAATTCACTCACCCACAAGTTACCTCCCTTTGCCCTTTCCCGCGCAAACCAGTCAGGTGACCTGCCTTACTTGTCACTCTCTCCTGATTTTCTGCCCATGCACTTGGATCTGCTGTGAAATCTCAAGTGTCTTCAACGGGTAGGTTGGGAGGGCTTCTCGTCATGAGTCAGGAGTATAAAAATATCAATATTACTTAAAAAATTACATATTTTTACTTATCCTGACTCATGATCTTTTGCTTATAGAATCCGACAGATTGGTGATAGATCAAGCCACTTTGTGGATTCAACAGCTGTCTTTAGATACGTCCTGTATCCCCCCCATGGGAACTGCGAACCGGCATTTCCATGATCCCATTCTTCCAACTTCTGTTATAACTCAGGGGGACCACTTTTTGTCTTACTTCAATCTCAGACAAGTTGAATCATGTTGATTCATGTGGCAAAGATAACTAGTATCTTCCTATTACTAGATATCTTATAACAACCCATAGATTATGATAAGATCTTTATCATAAATGAGTTGCGACCCCTTCACGTACAGGTAAGATCTTTATATGTACAGGATCTTTAATCACTCATGTAAGCCTGTGCTAGACTGTGCGCATGGACTTTCAAACTAGTAGTTTTCCTTAGTAAAAGTTATCAACAAGTCAACGTGATAAAGGGTGAGATTTTCCAACTCAGCACCTTTGTGGAGCCGTTAGTAGCTGTGCTACAACGAGAGGTCCAAATTGGTGAATGCCTGAGACGTCTTCAGTGGCTATGTCTTGGAGCTAGTGGTTGGCAAACACTGTGTCTGACTTCCAACAGCAGCCCTCCATAATTGTTGGTATAAAGCAATTTCCGTGAAGAGCCAGTGTTGATGCCAGTGCTCTAACTTCGTGTGGGTTGGAAGCTCTAGGAGGTTCTAGTCCTGCTGCTTTAAGGCTCTCAATATAACGGCTCTCATCCAGAACAATATGGTCGTTCTTGAGACTTCTGCTGATGAAGTCTCTGTTGATAATGGGATGAACAGGCGCTTGAATTTTTGTCTCAGTCTTTTAAAGATACATCTTCAGGGCTCTGACCGGACACAAGGATTAGTCCTCTATATCCTGTGGACTGAGGATTGTAGACAGCGCTGGTACGTGGAACTGTCTATCTGGTTGACCAGGTAGCTCGTTCTTGGTAATATTGTCCCATCTAAGTCCTAGATGAACTGCATTATGTTGCCCTCTGTCGAATCTGGTTCGACCAAAGTCCAGCGCATGTATCTCCGATATTCGAGCTGCCGTGGCTAACGCAAGCAGGAACAGAGACTTCTGTGTAATTTAGCAGCTCGAGTGTAATCTGGTCTAGTGGTTCGTAGACATCACTGGTAAGATGACGAAGAATTACATTTAGATCCCAGGCTGGAGCTCTGAATTTCTTGTGCTGGTCCTCCAGCTTAAGAGATCTCAGCAGAGCAAGTAATTCTGGTACTTTCGTCAACTTGATGCCTGTTTTCATGGTAATCACTGCACTGATAGCAGCGAGGTATGTAGATAATGTCGAACCCTTCAGATGTCTGGTCTGTCTAAGGTGACACAGATATTCTGCCACTTGAGGATGAGTGGCTATCATCGCAGTGAAGCCTTTCCGCCTTGCATAAGTCTCAAACTTCAGCCATTTGTCGTCATATAGGTTACGATTCGATCTGCGTAACGCTAGCGTTACTGCTTTGGCTGCCCTGGCGGAATATCCTCTTTTCTTCAAGCATGTTTTGATACGGTCCACACGTGTAACTGGAATACTGTAGGGTTTCCGTGGACTTGCTTGGTGTGCGGATGTATTCGTAGGTTCGGCCAATCTGGTAATTTGATTACTGGGTTTCCGAGATCTTCAATTAGGACTGGGAACCATGCTCTCGCTGGCCAATAGGGCGCGACCAAAGTCAGTTGTAGCGTCTGAGTCTGTTTGATCTTGAACAGTACTTTTGGCAGTAGTATCGGGGGTGGAAAAGCGTAGCCGTTTAATCCTTCCCACGACATGCTCAGTGCATCTGTTGCCCAAGCTTGAGGATCTTGAACTGGCGAGACAAACGTCTGTAGTTGTTTTTTGAACCTCGTGGCAAACAGGTCTATACAAGGGGATCCTATTTCCCTTATGTTCCGAAACGCTTCTGGATGGAGCATCCATTCCATAGGTGACGGGTGTAGTGGTCTTGAGAGAGCGTCTGCCAGTACGTTCTTGGGTATGTGACACGCCTTTATCCAGATGTTTGCTTCCTGTGTGATCTGGAACAACTGGAATGTGGGCTGCAATAGGCTTGGAGACCTTGTGGATCCATGCCGGTTTATGGAGAACGCCACTGTAGAGTTGTCCGTGTGGATCATCAGCATTTTGTTGTTCAGCAAGCTCGACCATAGTTGTAAGGCGTTGATCACTGCTTTCATCTCTAGCAGATTGATGTGAAGCTGCTGTTCTATTTTGGACCACTTTCCCGACGCCAAAGATGCGCACCCCATCCTTGCATCGAGGCGTCTGCGTAGAGATGTGTGTCAAAGGCCGGCTCTTGTAAATAGGTCCCTTCGTTCGACCTGTGTGTCCACCACAGTAGATACCTCTTGAGATTTTCCGACAGCAAGATAGGGTCGACGCTGTGTAAATGTTTTATCAGGAACCGTTGCAGCGGTCTTAGTTGTAACCTTTCTGTGCGAGTCAAGTCTTGAGCCGAGGTTAGCAGACCGAGTAGAACTTGCCATGATCGTAGTGTTAACGGAGGGACGCCTGCTGGCGGAATCATGGTTTGTATCTTGACCCAACGATCCTCTTGGACGGCAATACGATTCTGTGTTGTGATAAACCTTATCCCCAAGAATTGTAGATCTTGTTTTGGTTCCAACTCTGACTTCAAAAGGTTCACCAGCAATCCTAGTTGAGTGAGCAACTTGATTGTGAAGTTCAGTTGTAGTTTGAGTAGACTGGCATCTTGGTGAACCTGAATTCCGTCGTCCAAGTAGAAGGCATTGCGTAGACCTCGATGATGTAGGCTTGCGACTATAGGCTTGGTTATTCGTGTGAATAGCCACGGAGCCGAAGATATTCCAAACGGTAGGACGTTCCATTGGAAGCGCAGGCCCGTAGGTTCACACAGGTACATAGGTTTGCCCACGTCGTCGGTAGATGAGAGGCTTTTCCTAGCCTTCGCTTCCTCCTGGAATCTGCGTTCCATCATGGCAACAGCTGACTTCTTCTGCGTTGTAGAAGAGGATGACGTCTTTTTCTTAGCCTGAGACGGGGTCGACTGAGATGTAGACGATCTCTTCTTGGCCCCCTTACCAGCAGACTGCCCCTGTAATGCACTAAACATAGCACCAGTATTATGAACATCGGCAGAAGGCTGATCTCCAGTTTTATCATCCGTGACTTGAGATGACTTTCTCACCCGATCAATGGCACGTCTATATGTATAAGACAAATATTGATTAAATTGAAGATTTGATAAATCAATACAATAAGTACAGCGCAAGCTGGAAGAACATGGTTTTATGCACGAAGGCACTGGGGGTGAGGATCAGCCACGGATAACCTGTGCCTGCAAACACTGCAGGATTTCATGAAATGTAAACAACCTTACATGACGATGAAAGCACGACTCAAAAGTCAATAATTTTTACAAACTTTTTACAAATACTACATAGTAGTTATAGCCAAATCCATATACAGCGTAATTTTGAAGAATAGGACCAAAATAAAAAGGACATAATGCCGTATACGGGACTCCCGTAAAAGGGAGAGAGTGACAAGTAAGGCAGGTCACCTGACTGGTTTGCACAGGAAAGGGCAAAAGGGAGGTAACTCGTGGGTGAGTGTATTTATACGTCTGCTTCGGGAACTTTAAGGGATTCAAGTGTTCCACTACCATTCGAAAGGGAAAGGGAGATAAGCAAAAGATCATGAGTCAGGATAAGTACAAATTAGCCTCTTCCGACAAGCATGGGTTGCTTCATGGGTCAGGCAACAATACTTAAACTACCACAGTAGTGAAACTTAGAGAAACTTACCAGGCATTTCTCACACACAGCATCGTCTCTCCGGTATTGCGGACATGTTGGAAAATAGGTCTTCAATCGCTGCCATATTTCTTCAGGGATCAGCCGACGACAACTTTTGTCAGGATTGAGACAACCTGCAACACAGGAAGTATAACCGCATGGCCTAGAAACATCAGATAACATCTGCTACTTCATGCATCATACAACCAAGGCATGTGTAGTAGTGGTGGTCCGATTAATTGAAATAATCGAAGATTAGGTCATAGTGACTAAACGACCAAGCAATCGATCATAATTTCTCATAATCGAACACAAACAATTCTGGAACACTTGTTTTCATTAACAATATTTTTCACATGGTTGGTTTTGTCTGTTATATTTCGTAAGCACTACAAGCTCTTTTCAAGTCATAATTGAATTTATCTTAAAGATTCCAAGAAATTTATGTTCCTAACATACTAGTCATCCTTTAAAGATATGAAATTTTGCCAAAAAAACCCCAAAGAACTACATGATTTTTTTCCATATTTTATGTGCATTAACAAATTTCATAAATGACGCTAACCAATTATTTTCGATGATTGATCGGTAGTAATGAACCAATCATCAATTATGAGATTTTAACCAATTCCAAACACTAATGTGTAAACCACCTAACCCTCCTTCCTACAACAGCTCATTCCAAAACCATGCTGCCCCTGGATACTGCTTCAAGTTTCCATGCTGATACTTTACACACTTGAGGTGAGCTCCTTATATTTGTTAATTAGCAGGGACGACCAAAACATTTTCTTCAGTTTACATAACCCCTAAGACAAGGATCAATAATTTTGTCTTGAAAGTAATAATTGTCCTCTCTACAAACAAGTTGGAAGATGCTTAAGTGAACTATAATATGAGCTAGTTTAGTGTGCCTCACTGTGATCACACAGCAGGTCTGTGTTAAACTGAAGTTCACACTTCTGGTCATCGTCATCTTGTTCCCCATTATCTCCCAAGTCACGTGACGGCTTCTCCTGTCCTTCACCACCTGGCTTGTCTCCTCCCATATCACCTGGCTTCTCTTCTGGTTCATCACCTACAGAAGAAAAGACAGCTGCTTGACCAAGTTCAGGCAATTACAGCAAGGCTGTTATGTTTGACATTTGAGTGGCATGTTGGAAGTTGAAGACCCATTCAAGGATATTATAACTTGATTGATAAAAGCGTTAGGGTTAACATCAATATCAGTTCTTCATTTCAACAGTTGCCTTTGTACTAACTGGTTCACAAATCAGAAAGAAAACCATATTTATTTCAATGTTTGTGTTATTCACATGAAATGAAGAAAAGCTGTACCCACCATCTTCTTCCCCTCCCTCATCCACAACCTTGTCCGTAGCCTGCTGCGTATCTTGATGGAAGGTGGAGAGAGCCAGTTTCTTCCAGCTCCTCAGTGATGACCTCCCCACCCAGTAGCACAGCTCACTGTAACACACACAGGGAACCATGGGGCCAGGAGGTGTAGTAGATGCTGGAGCAATGGTGCATACCACTGGGTTGGGGTTGGTGTAGGGGTTGGTGTTGGGGTCAGGGTAGGGGTCGGTGTTGAGATTGGGGTTAGGGATGGGTAGGCTGAAAACACCTCCCTACCCAGTAGCACAGCTCACTGTAACACACACAGGGAACCATGGGGCCAGGATGTGTAGTAGATGCTTGGCCAATGGTGCATACCACTGGGTTGGGGTTGGTGTTGGGGTCAGTGTCAGGGTTGGAATCGGGGTCGGTGTTGGCATTAGGGTTGGGGGTGGGTAGGCTGAAAACACCTCCCCAACCAGTAGCACAGCTCACTGTAACACACACAGGGAACCATGGGGCCAGGAGGTGTAGTAAATGCTGGAGCAATGGTGCATACCACTGGGTTGGGGATGGTGTTGGTGTTGAGTAGGATGTTATCAAACAGATATGACCGAGGGGACAGTGTCTCTTCCTCAAGAAATTATATCAAAAGACATTGTTCACTTCAAAATTGGGATAAGGATGAAAGTGTCTTTCTTTTTATTTACAAGCATAATAGTGCAAGCTAAACAAGTAATGAATCTACTGACCGGAATCGGAAAACATAAAAGTCATTTTTGAAACTTCAATAATAAATTATGTAGAACTGGGGCTGAGTTTTGGACCCTAGATGTATCCATGTCCTCTTACTGATGGTGCATACAACTGAGCCCCAAGGGGCGGTGGGGTAGCCTAGTGGTTAATGCGTTCGCTCGTGACGCCGATGACCCGGGTTCCATTCCCCACATAGGTTCAATGTGTGAAGCCAATTTCCGGTGTCCCCCTCCGTGATATTGCTGGAATATTGCTAATAGCAGCGTAAAAACATACTCACTCACTCACTGAGCCCCAAGTTTTCATGCCAGTGATCTAATTTCTCACAGCTGAAGGTGACACCGAACAGGTTCACTCTGTCACTCATGGCCTATTCCATTGTAAGAATAAGTCAATGCCATTTCAATTAAACATGGTTGCTAAATCCAGGGTCTTTTCAAGGCCAGACTGTCAGGTTAAAAGCATTTAAAGCTCTGAAAATGTGGGGCTACATACCTATCATATGTAAACTTGGAGACCATGTTGACAGCTTTTTCATCATTCACCATCTGCTGCTTCATCCTTGTCACATGACACCGATTCCGCACGCACTTCCAGCACAAAGTCTGCTCCCTACAGGCACAAATAGCTCAGTGGTGATTAGCTGAGATGCCAAAACATCACATCTAATCGCATGTTATCATTCACAAAAAAGAAAATGTTTTCTGAAATTCTCAAAATGCTCAAGAAAGCCTTGTCTGAAGAAAACATATCTGAATGAGGTCTACATGAATATGATAAAACTAACTGTTAGTTTTTCACTTAAATTATGCACAACTTACGACAATATGCTGACAAAGGGAGGTAACACAGTATCATATTTGTCCTTGACAGCTGGAAGCAACCAGTAATGCTACAGTAACAGCTGGATGCACCAGATACCACCCACACAATGGGATCTTACCCCTGCAGCCTCACGTCAGGCTTGTGTTTCTCTATCACTCGTGCTGCCTACAAAACAAAAGCAACAATTATTTAGCACCAAAATGAATATGCAATGTCTTCAATTTTGTTATGAAATGATAATCAATGTTGTGACAATAAAGGTCCTAGACAACTCATAATTCAAGTAATATGCAAGATGAAAATGCTTTGGACATGCTTTTAATTAGTCGTTGAACTTTCTTACACTCTTATAGTTTGACTTTCTGAAAATGTTAAACACAAATGCATTATGTAATTATGTATGGATACAACAAGTGGGAAAGGCTGTTTTGTTTGATTCAAAAGAACACAGTAGTGTGAGCATGTTTTATTATCAGTCAAATGTATGTGTTTATAATGAACAAACCCAGGTTCCCTAACAGAGGACGAGTGCCAGTACTGTTGTGGCAACAAAAGAAGAGCCACAGTTGAGACCTTTGTTCTCGCGACAGTACATTTATATCCTCATAAAATACTGGCACAAGTTCTCTAGAACAAAGGTAAATACTTCACTTCCAAAAAATCTACACTTCACAAACTCAACCATTCATATTCTAAGCAGATTGCATGATTTCATATAAACTCGAAGGTTTTGTGCAAACTGCCCAAGCATGACACTCTCTGTACTTCATCAGCAGATGTGTACTCAACATGACCTAAACAGTGACCACCCATTGGATGACATTTGCCTGTGCCCTAATCTACAGATAGAAATTTAGTGCATCAAGTTCAGAAACCTCATAACAATTGTCAACTCACCCCTTGAGATCGGACACACTTTAGCTTGGGCACAACATCAGGATCTAGTCTACAACATACAGTAACATATAGAGGCAGTTTAGATATTTCCAGGTGTTGTGATACGATGCATGTGATAAAATATATTCCTGGAAGCTATGCACTTCTTACCCAAGAAAACTTGGAATATCTACATGTTCTACAGGATACACAGCCTAGTGCCATAACCTGCTCGATGATAGTGTTAGAATCTACATCATTAACAGGAACACGGATGGAAACTCATGTCTATACTACATTGACAAATCCAGTTTGAAGGCACATCACGCCAGCTACCAGTAACTGCAATTATTTCAACATTTCAAAGACTCCATATCTGAAGCATGAGGTAGTTTCTGCCCAACTGTCATTCAAAAAATTAATTGCATCCATCATGTCTATAGATACTGCATTGTTAGATCCAGTTCCAAGGTACGTTATACCAGCTATTATATTACGGTTTCTTAAAGAAGATTTGGTCAGTTTTACTACTTATGAGAAATGAAAGCATCATCAATGCAACAGTACTGAATACTGAGCCACTGAGAAGTCCAGACAAATACCTGTCAAACATGAGTAAATATTGACTGCAGTTACAGTCTGAGTGACTTATTTCATTGCTGACTGCATGACATACAACATACAGAGTTGTAATGCTAGTCACAGCTGTACCCATGGCTGACTGCATGACATACAACATACAGAGTTGTAAGAGTTGTAATGCTAGTCACAGCTGTACCCATGGCTGACTGCATGACACAACATACAGAGTTGTAATGCTACAGACACAGCTGTACCCATGGCTGACTGCATGACATACAGAGTTGTAATGCTAGTCACAGCTGTACCCATGGCTGACTGCATGACATACAACATACAGAGTTGTAATGCTACAGTCACAGCTGTACCCATGGCTGACTGCATGACAAACAACATACAGAGTTGTAATGCTACAGTCACAGCTGTACCCATGGCTGACTGCATGACAAACAACATACAGAGTTGTAATGCTACAGTCACAGCTGTACCCATGGCTGACTGCATGACAAACAACATACAGAGTTGTAATGCTACAGTCACAGCTGTACCCATGGCTGACTGCATGACAAACAACATACAGAGTTGTAATGCTACAGTCACAGCTGTACCCATGACTGACTGCATGACATACAACATACAGAGTTGTAATGCTACAGTCACAGCTGTACCATGGCTGACTGCATGACAAACAACATACAGAGTTGTAATGCTACAGTCACAGCTGGGTCACACTACAACATACAGAGTTGTAATGCTACAGTCACAGCTGCATGGCACACTGAGTTGTAATGCTACAGTCACAGCAGGGTCACACTGCAACTTCTCATGTGTTGAAGAATTGGAAGACAATTATGTACTGGTTGTTATTGTAAGTGAAAAATTACATACTTTTGGTGCTGACATAAATATTGCAGATTCTTGACTTTCGGAACTTTTGCTGGATCAGCCAGCCACTTGCTGATCCAATCGATGCTCAGCCACTCAAAGTCACAGCCTGAAACAGTGTTAACAGTCACATGGAGTTTGCCAGAGGCAACAGGATATTTTGATGACTCTTTTGAAAGAACATTCTTCCAAATGTTTACAGAAATGACTGAATGAATCAGTAAATGTCCTGAGAAATGAGCTATTGTGAAACCCTGTGTAGTATAATCCAACACACTCACAGCTTCAAACATAGCATCAAGCAAATGATACCAGGGCCACCATAGCAGGGTACAGAAGCCAAACTGTCTGCATCAATCGCCGAGGAGCACATACCAGTGAAATGTGCTTTAAACTTCCAACAGGTACAAAGGCTGAACATATTTTACTCTCAATAAATGACGTGCAACTAACTGGCATTCTTAACTCAAGGACACATTTGGTTGATGTGAAATAGGCTTAGGTGTGGGTTGTTGCTGTACACCAGATATCTGAGAAGTAGGTACAAGATGAACTGCGAGGCCATGGAGCACCCACAAGATCATCAGACAGAAGGACTCACGACTTACCTGGTTCATAAAACAGAGCCAGGTACTTCTCCCTGACTTCTTCTTGTTCACATTTCCCACTCAGAATTTTAGTTTCCTGTTGAAAGCAGACACAACCACACAATGGGAGTCAAGTCGGTACTACAGTAATGAACACTTCCTGGACAAGAAAACTGATTGCATTCGGTCTCTTGAAAAAACACAACATTTTCCATCAAACAAGAAAGGTTATTCATCCAGGTAAACAGGAGAGACAGGATATAGTGATCAGCATGGGAAGGCATTGTGTGAGAAGATGGTCACCAGTTGTATCGATCATGTTCAGCCAAGAAAGGAATTCACAAATTAATTTGAGTCTGAGTGAGTGAGTGAGTGAGTCTGTGTGTGAGTGGGTGGGTTTGAACGAGTGAGTGAGTGAGTGAGTGAGTGAGTGAGTGAGAGTCTACACAGTACAGTTTCCTTTGGGAGGAAACCCCTAGTAATGCCATGACATTCTGTGTATGATATGAATTGAAGTAAATGCTGCCATACTTGATAACAATTTGGTGGTCTAGTACAACATCCTTGTGATTGACACTAGTAGTTATACCAATGTCACAAACAGACAAATGATGGAGGTTTCTGTTGTCCAATTTTCACATACTTGTAAGCACCATTAAACATGGCATAAAAAATCCCTATTTCCATTTGTAACCTACATTACATAAAAGAGAAGAAGCTCTCTCTCCCCTCAGGTTACATCCATCAAGTCCATCACGTATTTGTTCACAAGTGTCCCTTTGTACTCATGACAAACAATCGCTCGCCACGCCAATGACCTGGCTTCGTTCCCCACATCGGTATAATGTGTGAAGCCCATTTCTGGTGTGATTTCACCGTGATATTGTGGGAAAACTGCTAAAAGCGGCATAAAAATAATCCCAAACACTCGTGACAAACAAGCTGGTTTAGAGTCAGTTTCACCCCTTTCACCAAGCATCTTACCCTGGCTGTGATCAAGTCTGTGATCCACTCTTCAAACTTGTCATTATCTCGGAGGACGTATTGCTGCACCCCAGGGGGAAGGAGGCCCTCCAGGCTGCTGCACTCCTCCGGGGTAGCTGAAACATGTCAGTCTCTCAAACAGCTATCTCACAAACAGTCATGTTGCTCAAACTGTTGCCAATAATACACATGATTAGATCAATATTTTGTAGTACATGGACTTTTACTAGGGGCTACTAGTTGTGAAATCATCTCTTTTTTACAACACTTCTGAACACATGCTATATGTCACCACAGACACTGATGTTGAACCAGGATTCTACCATGACATTTAAGTATGTTCGTTTTGATTGGCTGTTACTAAAAATTAGAAGTGAAAAATTTTCAGTAACTACTTCTGAGAGCGGTTCACTCTTGCGCGTAGTGTCAAAACACTACGCAAGGGTAATGAGTGCATATTTAAAACGCGTTTTATTCATGGTGCATATGTCATGGTAGAATGGAGATAATCCTATTGTGTTTACATTTTGGAAGTGATTATAGTTGGTTGAACGCTGCTAAATGTTTCATTTAACAGCGTTCAACCAACTATAATCACTTCCAAAATGTAAACAGAATAGGATTATCACCTAAGTGTTATGTCAATCTGGTCAACATTCCAGTCACACCAAGACTGAGCTTCCCACTACCTGATGATCAGCACCTGAGACTTCAACACATTAACCTCTAAAACATTTTCAATAAAATATTACTTTCAGTTCAATCAATTTACAAATACTCCCTCATCACATCTGTTAAGGTTTTCTACATCCAAACTGGCATCAGTATCTACACTGGTGTAACAGGGAAATGTTGGTGTTGTCTTCATCTTAATATTGTCTCATCAGTTTAGAAATGTAAATCAGACACTAGCAGTGTTACCGTATATGACCGTCTATAAGCCGAATTTTGAGGACCAAAAAAAAGCAGACTGTAGAAGGGGGTCATCTTATCCATGGGTTACGCTTTTGTCAAACTTTTTTCCAGGGTAAGAAAACAACATCGTATCACTTCGCGTGAACAAACAACGGAAGATGACTTTGTCAGTAGAGACGTCAAATTTGCAAATAAACATCACTAGACAAGATTATTTACATGCTTGATTGGCATTTTAGAAGATGATATTTGATGAACATAGAGATTTTTTCTGGGTTACATCTTCTTTTTATTCTAAAAATAAAAAGAATAAAAAGAAGATGTAACCCAGAAAAAATCTCTATGTTCAAGATTATTTACCTTTTAAGTTCTAAGTTGTTTTTGCTGGGCATTGTATTATTTGCAGGGATTAAGATTACCGTGTGTATCTGAGCTGGAAATAGCAATCAGCTGTGCACATGTTTCCCAGTACCCATACTTTCATGGGGACAGACTGTAAAGGTACAGACACCACTCTGCAGTTTATCTGTAGATTTATCCAGCGATCACTTCTAAAGATCTACTTGTTTTCAGTTTGAATCCCATATTCCCCCAGATTAAGATCCAAAGTGTGTCATGATACTACGTTTGTGGATTTCTTGTCTACCAGGGTCCCGTTTCACAAAATTCTCGTAAGTCTAAGATCTCGTAACTTCTTGTAGCATTTGTACCTCCTATACTGAAACATAGGAGATACGAATGCTACAAGAAAAGAGATCTTTGGACTTACTAGAGCTTTGTGAAACAGGACCCAGAGGTCTACAACATGCATCATGTTCTCATACAGTCAGATGCCTCAAATACTAGGACAAGATGTATAAACCCACCTTCTGCCTGTGTGCCTTGCCTCGTGTACACCAACATATAGGCATTCTTGGAAGAGTGGCAACCTTTAGCTACTCTCCCTTTCTTTTCCTTGGAGTTCTCTGATAATAGATAAAGTATTTAGACTCACATTCAGAGATTGACAATTCAGAAGTTGAAAATGTGTTGGCAAATAAGTGATTCATAATGTTCTTTTACAGTAAATAAACCAGATCACCTATTAATTTTTCAGGATGGTGTCATAGCCAAGTGATCGAAGCGTCCACTCGTCATGCCAAAGACCCAGGTTCGATTCCCCACATGGGTACACTGTACTGTGTTCTGGCATCCCCTGAGTGATATTGCTGGAATATTCCCAAAAGCGGCGTAAAACCCAACTCACACACTTATTCAGGTAAGCCTGAAGCCTAGGTACCAGAGGTATAGTTCGACTAATCCAGGGTTCGACACACCTATCCAAACATTATTATGACCTGATCAAGCAATCAAACAGAAAGTAAAATATACCACGTTGTGTATGGTAGACACATAACAGTCATTAGTGTTTAACAGAATAAAGGTGTTGCCATTACTTAGTCTCAGATGTAACATTGATCGATGTCAAGACACCGAATTGTGGCAGACAATCAATTCAAGGATAGAATGCAATTTTCTTCGAAGGGTGCTATTGGGCACCAGACTTCATCTTCTTTATACAAATAAGTGCACCATACCTTCTCGTGGCCCAAATAAACTTAAAACATCACAAACAATTGTTTTATAAATCAGTAAACATCATGTAAACATGTAAACTTGAGAGTTGCAAGAATAGTTCAGCTTCATTTGTCCAGGACCAATAATCTAACCCACAAGCTATGTTATCATCCAAAACGTGATTTCCTGATGTGTGCACTAGCCCCACCAATGTTGAGCTGTCAGATTGAGAGTGCCACCATTGATAGGGGTGCAATAAAATAGTGTTAAACAGAGTTGGCAAGTGAGTTTGTTACAACCGGAAATTCAATAAATCTGACAGTGGCTGTAGCATGAATTCTTCAAGGAAGTGGCCTGCAACTTACCCTGGATCTCTTCCTCTGACCCCAGGTGCAGGTTCCGCCCCTTCATCTCTTCGATGTCCTCATCATTAAACTTGTACCACGGATGCTGCTGTCCTTTCCTGATGTGGGCTACGTAGTGGCCGCTGTAGGCGCTGGGGCCTCGGTGTATCAACACTGCAGTCAGGTCGTACACAGCGGTGTTCTCTACAATCACAGCAATTCAGTCATATCACTGTGTGCCAGCGGTTGGGAAGATGGAGGTCACACATACTTACCCCATTTGTGAAATTTTGCATGGTGCTGACAAACCAAGTTTGAACATGGAAGATTCTGAGTCTGGACCAGATAATACAATGATATTTAACCATGGTCACCCAAGACATTTCCAGTGAGGATGAGAGAGTGGGTGGGAGGTAGGGAGAATGGTTTTACGCCGCTTTTAGTAATGTTTCAGCAATTTCACGGCGGTGGACACCAGAAATGGGCTTCACTAGTGTTGGGAATTGGTTCAAATCTCATAATTGATGATTGGTTCATTACTACCGATCAATCATCGAAAATAATTGGTTAATGCACATTTGTTAATGCACATAAAAATAAGGTAAAAAACAAGTAGTTCTTTTGTTTTTGGGGGGCAAAATTTCACATCTTTAAAGGATGACTAGTATGTTGGGAACAAATTTCTTGGAATCTTTAAGATAAATTCAATCATGACTTGAAACGAGCTTGCAGTGCTTACAACATGTAACAGACAAAACCAAACATGTGAAAAATATTGTTAATTGTTTGTGTTCCAGAACTGTTTGTGTTCGATTATGAGAAATTATGATCGATTGCATGGTCCTTTAGTCACTATGACCAATCTTCGATTATTTCAATTAATCGGACCACCACTAGGCTTCACACATTGTTCCATGCGGGGAATCGAACCCGGGCCTTCAGCATGACAATCTAACTCTTTAACCACTAGGGTACTCCACCATCCTGGACAATTCCAGTGAGTTTTTGGCTGACAAATACAATACTCATGCATCACTTTGGGGTTTATTTACAACTTCAATCTGCAACATTTTTATGGGTTTTTTTGTTTTGCTTATGTGCTAATTGCATTAATCAACAGTGGAGGGAAAATGGCTGCCTACCTGGCTTACGAAGATACTTGCTCATATCTAGAACTTCAGGGAACTGAACAAAACTGTTGATCTTCTTCTTGTGCCCAGTGTTTCTGACAAACATGAGAGAGGAACCAGTCAACAAACATTTCACACACATAACAAGGAGGTCTTCCAGTTTTCTCTAGGGATCCAAAGTCATGCCTCTTGAATGGGGGCCACTTTGATGTTTGTGAATTCACTAAACAGTGTAAGTCCTGTTGAAACGTTTATGAACATGTAACAGGGACAAAGATATTGGTGTCAGTAGCCATACTTTCCTAGGGATCTTCACTGTTTACCTTATCTCCAAAAACAGACATTGATGCTGGCCATGATGACATCTGAATGTTGAACCATATGATAACTAAGTTTGAAAATAGCATCAAGGGACTGTGTGCTAATTTAGTCACGGGTCTGAAGATAGTCCACAAAATGTTACCTTTGGTTTCGTCAAGTAATCAAGGAGTGACATTCATGCTCCAGGCATCACCTTTAAGGCTGTACAACAGCAAGTTCAAAATAATTAAGTCTGATAGGTTGTTGTTTAAAGTCTCACTCCGCAAGATTAACGGCTGTAAATAATCGAATCAGGACCAGAAATCCAGTGATGCCTGTTACATAACCAGCATATGTTTCACGGGAGCTATTCTAACCAGAGATCCCAAGTACTCTTTAGAGTAAAACGCAAATATTATGGATGACAACTTCTTCTTTATTGTATATCACAATGTTTCTGGGACTATTCCTTGCCCCTTCGTCAGGTGAATTGTAACAAACAAGATACATCAATGATGGATGGTTTCAGGGTCTTATATTAGAGTGGAATGTCACGTCGATGCTGGTAGTTTTCTTTGTGAGACGGCTGATGTGGTGGCTGATCTGGCCATGGTCGGGTATGTTGATTCGATTAGGAGAAGGTTCAGGTTTGGGAGGGCATTCATCCTGCTGCTGCTGGAGAGTTCAGGCTATGGTTCTTTCTACTACTCATTGATGTATCTTGTTTGCTAACAATTCACCTGACGAAGGGGCAAGGAATAGCCCAGAAACATTGTGATATACGATAAAGAAGTTGTCATCCATATAATTTGCATTTACTTGAACACCAACTTCTAAATGCCTCTCAAGAACCTACTTTATAGAGGTTGAGTCCCATCGGAGATTTCGAACCTACACAGTAACTTGGTTTGCTGGCGATTAGGTGTCTCACTCTGAGACTGTGGGTTTGAATCCCAGATGGGTCTCAACCTCTAAAAAGTACTAGAATCTGTACCTTACATACAACGAGTAATCCCAAATTTAACATTATCTTACATTTGACCACTTTATGAAAAAGGCATTATTTATTGATTGACACAATATCCCACATGAGGAAGACTACAAACTCACTTGTCAAACACAAATCTAAGCAGCTGGATGTTGAGGACTGGAGGCAGGGACTGCAGATTGATGGCCCTGGTGGCGTTCTGTTTGCTCTCGCAGGATTCACACATGTACTGGTTCTCTCCCTCCAGCTTCTCTTCCTGCAGACACACAAGGCACACATCAGACATACAAGAGCAGAACACATCAGCCACACTAGTGTAGATTACATCAGAAACACAAAAGTAGAACACATCAGACACAAAAGTAGAACAAATCAGGCACACAAATGTAGAACACATCAGACACAAAAGTAGAACACATCAGATACAAAAGTAGAAGAAATCAGGCACACAAGTGTGGAACACATCACACACAGAAGAAGAAATCAGGCACACAATTGTAGAAAACATCAGACACACAATAAAACACATTAAATAGAAGTGTAGAACATAAGATATACAAGGGTTGAATGCATCACATGAACAAAGGGATAGAACACAATCAACACAAAACAGACATACATGAGACACATCAGTAACACATTAGGTACAACACATCAGGCACACAATAGTTGAACACAGAAGCCTAACAGTGAATCCCCCACATGTACTACAGCCAGAACAGAGGAGGGCAACACCTGATCATGAACTTCATCTCCCTGCAGAACGACAAATGGATCACTTTTACAAAAGATAATTAACATGTTCAACAGGACACATATCTCCATGTTCGGCTTCCTGTAACATCATCCTGTGTACATGTGACAGTGAACAATGCACATGGTTAACTTCCACACCACCTGTATGGTACCTCCATACACCAAGTACACAGTAAGGGTGTTTTGGACAGTGAATATTGTAAGCATGGTATGAGTGAGTAAAACGTATGCAACTGACCTTGAGAAAATCCTCAATGCACTCTTTTAATAACTTGTGTCCCTTGATGTTCAAGTCCAGCTCATAGAACATTGACCCCGTTCTTGACTCATTGCCACAGTTCTTGCACCTGACCAGAAGTCAAACGTACATGTCAACACTACACAGAGACATCACAGAACACTAAACCATAAAATCTATTACCAGTACTTCTTAAGGAATGTATGTATGAATGGGAACTACACAATGAACTTGCCTGGAGTGAGTAAGTGAGTGTGATTTTACGCCACTCTTAGCAATACCAGCAATACCATGGCAGGAGACACCGGAAATGGGCTGCACACAGTGTACCCATGTGGGGAATCAAACCTGGGTCACTGGCATGATGGATGAACGCTTTAACCACTAGGCTACCTCACCACCCCCTTGCCTGGACTTTTTTTAAGTTCTCATTTTCATAATTCAGCTGTTTTAACATTCAAGACAACATCGTAAAGAAAAGTATTAAACATGTTTTACAGGGATATTTGTTCACATTCACAGTGAGGTATAGAGGTTTTTGCACATCTATGTGTGTCAGACTGTTATGAAAATAGTCTCAGAATTGTTGCCATTACAAAATCATAATCCATGAGTGTTATCGCGTATACATTTTGAAATCTAATTCCAGCACGACATTGTGTGATACTTGATTCTGATTTGCTGAGAGCTCATCAAAACCGTACTTAAATGGCAGTTTAAGACCGCTAATTAAAGTGACCGATTCACCTGGTATGAATACAATGAACTCGTTGACCCTATTGTTTGTAAACAAACATGTCGGACATCGGCAATTTCTATCTCGGCAGCATCTTTGGTGTTTTTGAAGTAAAAAGCGAATGGTTTGAAGAAGAATTTTTTTTACCCTAATCCCAGTGAAGAAACTACGAAGCTAGAAAATCCGTCAGCAGCACAAAAGTGGCAGTATATTTAAACCGGGTCAATATCTACGTGTGTTGACGTCGAGAGAGCCACATGCCCTAACCTGACCACTTCCGTCCCGGCCGTAAAGCCCAGTCCTTCCACTTCCACTGTCCATGTATCCCACATAAAACGTGGCATGTCAGGTCTTTTCCAAATTGGGAATAGTAGGGTGGTTATCAACAATTATTTCCGTGAATAAAGTTAATTTGGGTGAGTCGATTGTCATACAGTAGGGGAGATCAATAATTCTCGTGAGAAAAATCAAATAATTGTACTTGCTCACAGTATAAACTGTATTTTTTATTTATGTGTGCTACTTGTTACAAATACAAGCATACTGGTTCCTGAAATAAAGCATTTATGTTGCTGAAAATGTCTTATTTTGTTCATTACACAACCTGTCCTTCAATGGGACGATTCCAAGAGATTTCCAGGAAAAAGGCCCCTTCGCGCCTTGTGTTCTTGCGCGCCAAACAGTTCAGTTTTAAAACGCTTATCAGTCGAGCTAGAATGAAGATAAAGCTACTGTTTTCAATTTTGCGGTCCTTCATCGTTGATTTAAGACCGCTAAATGTTTAATATAAAACCTCACGCTACCGCATTTGGTTTATAAATTGCATTTAGCGGTCTTAAATCAACGATAAAGGACCGCAAAATTGAAAACGGAGTAGCTTTATTTTCTAAATATTGAATATTTACTCAGAGAATTGAATTTAAGAAAAGACCAATAGTGATCACAGGTATTGTATTGTTATCAAATCATTCTGAAACATTATTGATGACCTTAGAATCACCCAGAATGTTTTTGGGAAATATGCAAAAGGAATGTCAAAGTGACTGCCATATCTATAAAGTCATGTTGTTATGTTGGATATATTACACCAATTACAATACATATGCTTTAAACTGATCTTCCTTGTCATGAATAACTGAATTCCTCAAACTGTTTGCAATAAAATGACAAATGTTTCAGTGTTCACGAATAGCGTCTGACCCTCTGACAAATCCGGCAGATTCGCCAACGGTCAGATAGAAGTCTACAACCCGCCGGCCCCAGTGTCTGACTGTATATTTCACAATGACTTTGACTGAAGTTGTTATATGTGACATGTGACACTTGTTTGCTGTTGATATATCGGATGCTTGTTAATAATTTCAATGCCAATTATAAGAAATGTTAAATCTGTAATGTGTGTCTAAATGTATTCTATGGGTCCTGTGATTTTCAATGGGTCAGACAGACATCTGAAACATACAGGACCCAATGACCTGTTACTTTGAAACACCATTCGTGAACACTGATGTTTTTTGTCACCAATACTAAATGTAAAATCAAGTGAAAACCATGATTTGGTATATTCAACACAATATATGATAGTTTCCTTCAAGCCACGACAGACACAAACTCATGTTCAATGTTAATGGGTCTTCTCCTCATTTTAGACTATTTCCCTTGGTTACAATGAAAACATAACGAAAACAACAACATGTAAATTGTCAGAATGTTTCTGATTACTTACATGGCACATTTACATACTGAACAACATTAGAAAGGCACCACACTTAAAAAACACCTGACGATGCTCAGACATCATGGGTATATTTCAGTCTGACGGGGATATTTCGTTTTATATGGGTGGTGCGTTTCTAATGTTGTTCAGTATACATATATACGATCCTTGAATCAGGGAAAGTACTGTTCCTAATATCGCACAGTGAACAGGCCATTTTGCGAAAGTCAGCTACCGATAAGGATGTCATACACATGTCATCATTATGACTAGACAGGAGACCAGACTAAATTAACTGGCACCAATTACGACATATTCTAAGGGGGGTAACTCAGTCCTGGTTAGCTAAGAAAGCAAAGGCCTCATAATTCCCTATTATTTCAATGCTTATATTGACCGCTTTACTTTCAGTGTGACAAATAGTATATTTTGAAACACTGATGCTGAATTTAAAATTCCCTTCCGTTTCAAACTGTGATTAAAATTTTGTATACACTTCCCGTTTAAAAAATTCCAAAGAAACAAATGTAAACACACACTGAGATGTTCAATCGAACATATTCAAAGTACAGAGAGCAAGTCATTCTAATTCTGATCCTGATGACACTAACTATAGTATGACATTCACCTTGTGACGTAGCAGTACTCCCCGCGGAACTGTTGCTGCACGATGTTGGAGCTGCCGTGAGCAGCCTGGGCAGACATGGCATCCTCTAGCAGGGACAGGAACAGTTTGGAGAACTCCTGGGCATCCTGAAAACATCTAATATTCTCCTCAGTGTGTCATACAATACATGGTACAGATCACATCACATTAAATCTGACAATATCACAGAACACCACTGACTACAGGAGTGTCAAGTATTCTTTCAGTGTTTATGCAATTTAAAAACTCATGTGGAGAACAAGGGAATGTCACAATGAGTCATTAATACACATATGAATGTCAGTTTAGCAATCACATGATCGACCTCTTGTCCAGTGGAAAAGCTGTATATCATGTAAACTTCACGGTAAAGTATTATTCATGAATCAACTACATCATCATGAATAAACAGTACACTCGTGAAGACATGATATACACAAATATATGTGTATACAATACATGAATCTGTACACAACATACTCATCATACTCTTGATTACACAGTGTACTGAATATACAAGATATTTATAATAAGCCAAGTAATACTCATGAATTTACCACAATATATTCATTAATACACCAACACATATGAATACACCATATACTTCTAATTACAAAACCCCCTAATACTCATGTTTACAAACCATTCTACCATGACATATGCACCATGAAAAATAAAACGCGTTTTAAACAAGCACTCATTACCTTGTAATGTTTTGACACTACGCGCAGTGAACCGGCACTCAGAAGTGGTTATTGAAAATTTTTCACTTTTAATTTTTTAGTAACAGCCAATCAAAAACGAACATACTTAAATGTCATACTCACGCTAACGCGTTCGGTTTTAAATGACATTTAGCAGCATTCAACCAACAAAAATCACTTCCAAACTATAAACACAATAGGATTATCTCCTAAATACACATTTTGAATACACTCTACACCACTGAAAACAAGGATAATTCTTATTACCACCCAGTAACCATGGTTACAGAAACTATTACATTCATTCTTGTAAGATACATCAAATAGCAGAAAAAGATTTCTTCATTAACGACTTAATTTTATTACAAGGTGTTTGCAATGACTGCCAGTCTGCCAAGTGTGGCTCAAAGTTGTCCATCTCATCACGTCAGTCTAACGTAGTGGAGAATACAGACACCAGATCTTCACATTCATGTGACACCTGACAACACATGGCTGGATATTACCTGTTGCTGACCAGCGTCCAGGCCCAGGTGGTTGATGAACGAACTTGGATCAATGTATCTGAAGAAAACATGAAATCAACCTGCTATATCTTATTCATGGAAAACACCAATGCTGATCTTTATGTAATGATACAATCAATTATATCTACCCACTGATACACCTATCTCTATCTACTTGTAGTGGTCGCTAAATGGCAAAAGTACGCCCTGTTGTGACACATCCAAGAGTATCTACCTCAACTGTAGTGACACATCCACTTTTACCAAACAAAAGTAATACACCTACCTTTTATATACATAATGTATGTAATACATATCATGGATTTCTGTGGTGCCTGGTATTGAACTCGAAGCTACTCAACGGCGCATCACAAAGTCTAGGAGGGATTCCCCCAGATAACCCAAGCTGCCTGTGAGGCGTTAGAAGGTTATAGTCACATGACTTATCCCACATGGTACACATTTTCTGCTAGGTGCTGCGATCTTGACATAAATGGATGACAATGTATCCGCATAAAATGGGGGTGTGGTCGAAACAAGCCCTCTGATGCCTATCCTGCCAATATCGGGGTGGCAAGGAAAGTCAGTATCAGGCAAAATATCACTGTATTAAGTGATAAATAGAGAATACTACATGAGGTCTCATTACATACGAATTACACGAAACAAGTGTCCTTGCTATGGTATCTGACGGAGCGAAAGCGAGGTCAGATAACATAGGAAGGTCACGAGTTTCGTATAATTCGTATGTAATGAGACCGAGTGTGGTATTTTATTTATTACCCACGTCTTACATGCATTAAATTGACAAAATAGCGTATTTTTGTTAATATTTTGGTTTCAAACCAAAACAGGTTTCATAAAGAGGTTGCGGAAGAGTTTTGTACCGTAGTACAATATTTGCATGACGTCACACTGTAATGACGTCACTGCCATGGTAACCGACGTCACGATTCATGTCAGTTGTCATCGCCTCGTACAGCCTCCTACAGTCAACTACTCCGTAGCACCCCGTTTCTTGGTTTGCAGTTGCTTCATTCGGCTAACATCACTGGTGGAAACATTGCGTTTACGTTTTTCGACGGATATAATGTCTCAGTTCGACTCACAATTAAACAGCGACACGGCAACGTTCGCGATGTTTACATTCCCACAATGCATTTAAGTTGTAGAATGAATGAATTCACGTGTTTGTTATGAATGAAAAAATAGTTACGTCAGAATGTGACCTAATTGAGAGGTCATCGGTTATCCAATCAAATCGTTAGAATCTCAGGTCAAGTCGTTACGACACAGGTCAACGCGATACGACACTCGTGTGAGGTACGAGATTAGTATGCAACTAGCCATACGTTGACCACGTGGGTAATAAATACCAATATTAAGGCACAAGTGTCATAAACACAGTATGATATGAGCACAAATATAATATTCTGTTTATTACCGAACTTGTCAAATTGAGGAAAATTTACCCAAATCTACTTTCAAACATAGGCTGGCTCCCTGCCGTCGCCGCATGTAGAAAGCAACGTCAGAGAAGAAACGTTACATCATAACATTGTTCATGTCACGTCACCATGACAAAGTGATATTTTGACCCAGGGCATGGTATGAAAAATATGAACCCCGATATTTACGCCCATGTAGGTAATAATGTTTGTACTGTGGAGCATTTCAGGTCGGGGGGTCATCTCAAATTTTAATATATCTTTTAAAAATCTTTAATCCTCACAAAGACAGGGCTTGTGGACAGGAGCTCATGAACATAAAATATGGGGTCATTTCAACTGTTGTGGGGACCACGTTCTGAGACCTAAATATTGTGAAGACAGTCAGTAACTTCATCTTTAACTCAGATCCACCTGTAATGACACACCCACCTTACCTATAACTCAGATCTACCTGTAATGACACACCCACCTTACCTATAACTCAGATCTACCTGTAATGACACACCCACCTTACCTATAACTCAGATCTACCTGTAATGACACACCCACCTTACCTAAACTAACTCAGATCTACCTGTAATCTACCTTACCTAACTCAGATCTTACCTGTACACACCACCTTACCTAAACTCAGATCTACCTGTAATGACACACCCACCTTACCTATAACTCAGATCTACCTGTAATGACACACCCACCTGTAATGACCTATAACCTATAACTCAGATCTACCTGTAATGACACACCCACCTTACCTATAACTCAGATCTACCTGTAATGACACACCCACCTTACCTATAACTCAGATCTACCTGTAATGACACCCAGATCTACCTGTAATGACACACCCACCTTACCTATAACTCAGATCTACCTGTAATGACACACCCACCTTACCTATAACTCAGATCTACCTGTAATGACACACCCACCTTACCTATAACTCAGATCTACCTGTAATGACACACCCACCTTACCTAAACTAAGATCTACCTGTAATGACACACTCACCTTACCTAAACTCAGATCTACCTGTAATGACACACCCACCTTACCTATAACTCAGATCAACCTGTAATGACACACCCACCTTACCTATAACTCAGATCTACCTGTAATGACACACCCACCTTACCTATAACTCAGATCTACCTAAAATGACACACCCACCTTACCTATAACTCAGATTAACCTGTAATGACAAACCCACCTTACCTATAACTCAGATCTACCTGTAATGACACACCCATCTTATCTAAACTAAGATCTACCTGTAATGACACACTCACCTTACCTAAACTCAGATCTACCTGTAATGACACACCCACCTTACCTATAACTCAGATCAACCTGTAATGACACACCCACCTATAACTCACCCTGTACCTTACCTAACTCAGATCTACCTAAAATGACACACCCATCTTATCTAAACTAAGATCTACCTGTAATGACACACTCACCTTACCTAAACTCAGATCTACCTGTAATGACACACCCACCTTACCTATAACTCAGATCAACCTGTAATGACACACCCACCTTACCTATAACTCAGATCTACCTAAAATGACACACCCACCTTACCTATAACTCAGATTAACCTGTAATGACAAACCCACCTTACCTATAACTCAGATCTACCTGTAATGACACACCCATCTTATCTAAACTAAGATCTACCTGTAATGACACACCCACCTTACCTAAACTCAGATCTACCTGTAATGACACACCCACCTTACCTATAACTCAGATCAACCTGTAATGACACACTCACCTTACCTAAACTCAGATCTACCTGTAATGACACACCCACCTTACCTATAACTCAGATCTACCTGTAATGACACACCCACCTTACCTATAACTCAGATCTACCTAAAATGACACACCCACCTTACCTATAACTCAGATTAACCTGTAATGACACACCCACCTTACCTAAACTCAAATCTACCTGTAATGACACACCCACCTTACCTTTAACTCAGATCTACCTGTAATGACACACCCACATTACCTAAACTAAGATCTACCTGTAATGACACACCCACCTTACCTATAACTCAGATCTACCTGTAATGACACACCCACCTTACCTATAACTCAGATCTACCTGTAATGACACACCCACCTTACCTATAACTCAGATCTACCTGTAATGACACACCCACCTTACCTATAACTCAGATCTACCTGTAATGACACACCCAACTTACCTAAACTAAGATCTACCTGTAATGACACACCCACCTTACCTAAACTCAGATCTACCTGTAATGACACACCCACCTTACCTATAACTCAGATCAACCTGTAATGACACACCCACCTTACCTATAACTCAGATCTACCTGTAATGACACACCCACCTTACCTATAACTCAGATCTACCTAAAATGACACACCCACCTTACCTATAACTCAGATTAACCTGTAATGACACACCCACCTTACATAAACTCAGATCTACCTGTAATGACACGACCACCTTACCTAAACTCAGATCTACCTGTAATGACACACCCACCTTACCTATAACTAAGATCTACCTGTAATGACACACCCACCTTATCTATAACTAAGATCTACCTTAGTGATACACACCTTCTAATACTGTACTGAAGCAGGGCAAAGATGACTTGAAGATGTCCACAGATTGTTGAGGGAGTCCAATCATCACCTTCAAGCAAACACAGGCTGACGATTGACAAGATAAACAGTTAAGTATAGCCAATCAAGTCTCTGGTGTCATAAATGTGTCTACCTCTTCTAAGATCTAAGGGGCGGTGGGGTAGCCTAATGGTTGAAGCGTTGGCTCGTCACGCCGAAGACCCGGGTTCGAATCCCCACATGGGCACAATGTGTGAAGCCCATGTCTGGTGTCCCCTGCCGTGATGTTGCTGGAATATTGCTGAAAGCGGCGTAAAACCAAACTCAGTCAGTCAGTCAGTCTAAGATCTAAGGAAGCAATGATGATAAATGCACTGCAATGATCCAAGTCCTAATACATGTGGTAGTCTTAGGCTTGTCATAGATTTCTTAACCCGTGAAGGTCCGGGTTAGAATGTGCCTTCAGTAACCAATGCTTGTCGTGAGCGGCAACTAACGGGATCGGGTGGTCAGGCTCGCTGACTTGGTTGACATATGTCATCGGTTCCCCATTGAGCAGATCGATGCCCATGCTGTTGATCACTGAATTGTCTGGTCCAGACTCGATTATTTACTGACCACCGCCATATAGCTGGAATATTGCTGAGTGTGGTGTAAAACTAAACTCAATAACTCACTCAAAGATTTCTTAAACACAGATGTGTCATGTATATGTTAAAGTATAAGCAAAATTGACATACAAAGTTAAAGATTTTTGTTAAACATCTCATGACAACTTTAGCCATAGCACATCAGAGACCTCGACAACTTTATCCAAATACCCTGCACATCCATGATATAGACAACTTCAGCTAGATACCCCACCCCACATGTCCAAAGTAGTAATCCCAAATCCACTCCGTGATCTAGTGATCTTGAACTAAGAACCTTAATCCACACTTTGACAAAGCTTTCGGCGTGAAGGTTGGAACTGACAAGACGTACTCAACACATCCGGCATGTGAGTTTCCCTCCACTGGTACAGAGCTCTCCTCACAGGGAGGTTGTGAAACCACAGCTGTAGGAAGGTATTCACATAGCAGGTTGCACCAAGATTCTTCAACCCCACATAAGAACCCTGTCAAAGATAAAACATAAATTTGGCTACAAAGGCTTGAACCAACATGACATACATTAGGGAATACTTCATGTTGTCATTGTTTCTGAATCTCACCTTCATCACTGTGCAGGGTTTTATGCGACACACAAATATGCGTCCAGTAGAAATGTAGAGAAAGAGGCTGAAAACCCAAAATACTGCATCATGACCTGTGGTATGTGCATTTGGGCAAAAAAATAAACCGAACCCGTTTACATTTGCTTGTCAAAATTTTCAAAAGTCGACCTTAACAAGACATCAAGTTTCTATAGACCACATTGACGCAGTTAAAATTGACAAAATGCAACAGCATTTCAGCACATCTGTCAAAATTGCAGATAGGGCAGACGAAGTTCACCATAGTGACCAGACTGATTGTCACATTTTACAAATGCTTACTGTTTATGTCATGGCTCAAAAATATCTCTGCTGATACTTTTAAAGATTTGATGAATCTACAAACTATCAATGGTGTACAACACTGAACTAACTTTTACAGAAATCGAATGCTCGTGTCATTGAGGAAATGGAGGAATTGATCTGCCATGTGTTGGATCAGAAAATGACAAGTAACAGATATAAATAAATTCTTTAGAAAACTGTCTTTTTGTCCTTCAACTACTTCAACTAGAAGAGCCAACTTTTAGATCATAGGGGTGACACTAGTTTATAATTGCGTAATCAACAGTCAACAGACCATGAAATGTTGTTTTAAGACTGTAGGAGAATTGGGATGTAGGCGAATAGAGAACTAGGGGGGGGATAATGGGGGGAGGCCAGTGATATGATGGACAGGAGAATAACAGGATTTACCTTTTGCCGCCTCTCTGTCTGGGGGTCAAAGTCATGCCATTTTCTCTCATCCAGCTTGGCAAACCAAGACTTTTCTCCTAATGCATTCAAACAAAATGGGTTTCCCCTACAGTTCCTCCTGAAACAAACATTATTGCATGAGCTGAGGTGCAGTTACCATGGTAATGGCTTCAGGTATTTGTTTCAACTATAAGGTCTTCAGAAATATATCTATCAATTTGATTTCAGAATATACTCTTCAAAATATTCAGTTAATACTACGGTTGCCAGTTTAACATAATTTAGAAACACATCAACTAAATTTGTCAGCCTAGTTTCTTCAGGATTTGTTGGCCAGTTTGTGCCGTAACAGTTGCTGGATGATCATACTGCTTTTATCCTGTGTCTGCGGACGGTGGAAAGCAAAACCTGAGGAAAACTATTTAAGAGATAAACATGCTGTGTTGGAAATTATAATAGCCCTAAATTTGATTTAAAACTATATGCATAGCATGAGGTTTTAAATAACATAGTTAGAGCTATTATAATTTTGTTATATACCTTTGATTTTCCAACACAGTATGATTATCTCCATTCTACCATAACCGCATTATTAAGATTTAAAAAAATAATACATACTTTGTCGGAAAATCAGAAGTATATAACGTGATAATATTATTCTTCTTATTATTATTGGATATTTATATAGCGCACATATCCACACACTAGTGCATGCTGATGGCACTGGTATTTTTTCCCTCGATCATTGGATGTCAATCTCAACGGCACAAGCTTATTATCTTAACTCCCTGGGGAGCATACAACTCTTGCTGCCACAAGGCGCACCGAATTATTGCGGCTTTCCCATCCTTACGAAGTACCCATTCACAGCTGGGTGAACTGGGACACATAGTCACAGAACTTTGTCCAAGTTTACTACACGTTGCTGTACCCGCAACTAGGTGTTTGCACGTATTCATGTGGCCACCATCAGGTCATATACCAACGGATTCGTGGGTTCTTCTAAGTGCACAGGTTTGTGTACTGTACACTAGGGGCTGTGACAACACTGAAAGAGTCTGCACACAAAGCTGACTCCTAGATTTTTACACCCCGGTCACAGGTTGGCTCGATCCCAGCACCTCATGCTCACTGGATCATTAGCCTGGCACCTTAGCCAGCTCGCCCATACCTCTGAATGACTTTAATTAACCAATCACAGTCCAGTATTTACTGAAGTCTTGATAGAATTGTCTGTATGAGTGAAAACTTTGCTGACAATGACATACTTGCATGCTCCCTGTGAGCAAGGCTTCAGGTTGAGCCTGTAGGCCATGTTGACATGTTCCTGTGTGACATTGTGTGGGTCGGTTATATCTGCCCACTGCCAGGCAGCCTTGTCAAGCTGTAACTTTGGAGGCATTCTCACCACAGACAATCTGAAAATACAGTCAGTTAGGTTAAATGATTTGGCAACTTGTGTTCCAGTGAAAGCAATGCATGGCTAGACAATAGACATATACAACTTTTGTGTAACCCATCATCATAGTACCTTAATATGTTTATGTCTGCCATTATGAAACTACTATGCTTGAGTAATATTTCTATGATGTTCAATTGGCATGTTAATTATGACAAAGGCACAATGCTTTATAGATGACAAGAAGCAATAACCTTGCTTTACAACAATTTAAGAATCTATATCGAAATGCAGCACCATAATGTATTAAAAAGATGTCATCTGTAAATATGATAAAGTATCTTGCCTTTATTATTACAAATCAGCTTCTAACATGTCAATAAGAAGAGATGTCATTAGATTCTGTGTAAATCAATTGCTTTGATATTCTATTTCAAAGTCAAATCATATTAAACTATACAATTGAAAGCTGAGACATTTTTTCTGCTTATTTTGAGCTTTGTTGCCCAAGTTGAAAAACATTCATGCTGTAGTGTGCTGCTACATCGTGTATCCCATAACTTGCACGAGCCAAACATAGAAGAGAGGTGTCTGTTAGGTACAAAGAAGCCACTGCATAAAATATGTGACAGTGCACGGAGATGTATTTTATTCATTTGTATTCATTCAAACATAATCCAGGGAAAATTCACCAAACTGGTCATCATGATACAATTTATACTTATTCTTAACATTGTTCTACAATATGATCATAACTATTAGTGTAATTAATTTTTTTCACAAGCAACGTTCAATATATGGACGTTAGAGCCTGTCTTAATTTGTTGGGGTGACCAGGGTATATTTCGGTTGTTACTTTTATGGGTATTCAGATTCCTGGCTTAGTTCTGTATACTGATACACTCACTCAAGATCCAAAGGACGAATGTAGACAAACATATCGACCAATATGTACACATTCAATGTATACAGTTTTGATCACTCTTGTTCAAACGTGAATTGTCTAACATGCCACACGTAGACATGCAACAAGAACAATAGTGGAAACCAATGAAGGGACATTTTGCAAAATAGTGTCCAAAAAAAATAAAACAACTTTCGATTTCGTTCAATTTCTTCGATTGAACTTCGCGCCCCAAGTTCAAGGCATCTGCACCCAAACGACACATCCGATAGCCCATCCAGACTCACTCTGCGATCGCAAGAATTTCATACTTACATCTCTATCTAATATATGTCCAGTTTATGATACACAAAAATGGAAATAATGCCATCAAACCATTCCGCACATTCAAAATAATAAACTCTCTGTTGATGTTTGGTAACGTCGCAAGCGAAATTACTGTTGAGCCCCCTATAACATGTCTAAAGATTATGAGACGTTGTCTAGAGTGGCCTCCCTTGCGTCCAACCCCCATCATGCTTGGTTGTTTTGGTTTGGTTGTCGTTTAACCCCGCACTCAGCAATATTCCACCTATATGACGGCTGTCTGTACGAATCTGGACCAGACAATACAGTGATTAACAGCATGAGCATTTATCTAAGCAATTTGGATACGATGACATGTGTCAACCAAAGTCAGAGAGCCAGACCACCGGATGCCGTTAGTCGTCTCTTACAACAAGCATATGGATTGCTGAGGACCAATTCTAACCCGGATCTTCACGGGTGCTTTTCTTGGTAAAGACACGGGACGCAACTTTCTTAATTACTTATGTCAACTGGGTTTGTTTCGGCTTTTGTAATAGCCTCCGATGTATTTGGTGAAATTTTCTTTGCCTTGCAACCTAACGGGCTTACACGAAAATATTGGCTCGCTACGCGCCTGGCCATGCCAGTATCCACTGAACCCCCTGTGCTTCATTTCTGATTTTTTTTATCTGATTTAGGGACCGTTCATAATTTATGGCTAGGGGAGGGTGATGATGATTTTAAGGGTGGGTCACCCATTTTGTTCTAGGGAGGTAGGGGGGTCAGCAATTTTGTATACATGTGCTAGGGGGTCAGCAATTTTGTACATAAACATATTTTAAAACTATGCCTAAAATTATAGGAGGGGGTAGGGGGGTAATTGGTTTTGTACATGGCTTGCAGGGGCCCGGTCTCACACACACACACACACACACACACACACACACACCAGCCATAAATTATGATTTGTCCCTTACAACAACAACAACAAATGTTCACATAGGCGCCAAACTGGGGTCCCCGGTTAGAAATGTGTCCAAATCACTCTGTTGCAGGCAAGAGGACGTTGGCTCCGTGACTTCACTAGTTGATGTTGTACTGTCCGGTTGGAGGTTGTTCATATAGGCCTACTAGTATCAGGGAATCAATATTAAATGTCACATGACAGATTCAATCTCGCCCAGACCTGATGTTTTCAGTCCATCGAGCAGACTGGAAGCGGTGTCTGTTTTCTGTGTGATTTTAGAAATCTTTCTTTTCCTCCTTTTGCATTAATATGTGTTCCTCCGTTTGACTAATGAATATGACATATAACCCATAAAACTGAATGTGCCCGACAATTACTTTTTGAGATTCTCTGACAGTTCGTGGACACAGACAACTGCTGTGTATAGACCCGGGCGTAAGACGTTTCTGAAATAAATAGTCGCCCGCGGGTTCGTTCCAGGACCTACGGTATGTATTCCGTGTCGGTGTAGACAGCGGGTCCGTGATATTTATAAGTTGAATAGCGTCCGCCCGGAGAGCGGAAGGTCGCGGGTTCGATCCCCGACCGCGTCATACCAAAAGACGTAAAAATATGGTACTTGTTGCTTCCTGCCCTGGCGCTCGGCATTAATGGGTACAACAAGGACTGGTCGGCTCGGAGTCAGTATAATTTGTCTGAGTGGGGTATTCATGCTTCACTGCGGCATGGTATCTCAGTGGGCTAGCACTATAAAACCAGCTTCAGTCTGGGCTAGTACAAGCAGCCGCACATACACATACACACGCATGCAGGTCGTCATATGACAGAAATATTCTCAAGCACGACGTAAAACCCAATTTCACCTCACCTTACAAGTGGAATGAAGGATACTCTGGATGATCGAGGGTGGTGTGTGACACACACACACACACACAAGCACGCACGCATGCACACACACATACGATAATTATGTGTTATTTCAATTAAGTCCGCAAGAGGTTCATTTTGCTTTACATCGTCACATCATTCAAGATGACGATGCCAGCTGTTTATTTGGTTATCACCATGTGTAATGATAAAAATTATAGTGATAATAATACTCCGTCATTTCATACACCTTGGGTTTACAGTCTCGTGTACGTCAAGCAGCCGGACACAGACACCCAGCCGTCCACTCTGCGAGTAACTTCGCCTTGTTTATGATGTGCACGTTGTGCTCAGGACCATGTGTCATTTTTTATTTAGTTCTGAAAACGTCGCAGTGAGATACATTGAACAACCCTAGACAACTATATGTTTACTCAGAGAATTAAGACGTTATAGTCTTAATATATACATATACAAGATGCTATATAGTGGATGACGATATTAATATCCGGAGAACTATTTAGTTACTAGTTCCTATTAATCTTCTTAATGCCACTCTCATCAAAAGGCCAGAGTGTTGATCATTTGTGTCCATTTGTCCTGACCAGTGTAGCCAGCTCGCCCTGATGTTCCGTCTCACAGACCTGCTCATATGGTACAGGATACAGAGCTTTCAGTCATCGGCGTGTCCCATACATCCCTCGGGTCATTCATTTTCATTGTCAATGTGTTGGTTTTTTTATGCATTTTGCGTTGGGACAAAGCAGACTGTTATCTTGACTGCTGACGCTGATCTAAAGAGCCGAGGTCAATGTGTGTTCAGTTGTGATTGTTCGTATTGGTGAAGTAAATATATACTATTAAGAAAGTAGGGGATATTCCAGTTTTGGGCGATATTTATTGGGAACCACGTTGTCGTATTTCGTGCAATCGCTTTTTGAGATGTGCATTTAAACATGGTCGGGGTGAATTTCGAGAATTACAGTGAAACGTGTCAGTGTGTTGCTGTACATTTATCCGATAAAAACAGACTGAAAGATGTTTTATACGAAAGCCTAATGCTGCCATTTTTGTAGCATTTACTATTTTTTCAGCGAGAATTCTCGTTGCTTCGATTATTTAGTCGTGGCTTCGAGTACTTTCTTGTTATTACGAGTATTTCTTCGTTGCTTCAAGTGTGTTCTCGTTACTACGATTATTTTCTCGTTGCATCGAGTATGTTCTCATTCCTTCAACTTTCTTTAAAAAAATTGAAGTAAGGAGAAAATACTCGAAGCAACGAGAAAATAATCGAAGTAACGAATATTATTGAAGTAATATTATTATTGCAGAAAATACACGAAGTAACGAGAAAATACTCGAAATTTCAAGCATGTTATAGAAACTTGAAGTAACGAGAACATTCTTGAAGCAACGAAAAAATAGTTGAAGCGACGAGAACATAATCGAAGCAACGAAAAAATATTCGAAGCAACGAGAACATAATCGAAGCAACGAAAATATTTGAAGCAGCGAGAACTTTCGCTGAAAAAAATATTTTATGCTACAAAAGTGTCCGCATTAGGCTTTCGTAGTTTCATACTCAAACGTTTTTGCAGTCAGTAATTAGCAGACTGCAATCACGATATCGACAGACAAATATCGTTGAAGAGAGATGTCGGTCTGGTCGACCAAGGGCGACAAGGGGCGCACACCGTGGTCAAAGTGCCTCAAACTGAAGGTGAGGTTCACAGAGTTATGGTGATAGAGTCAATGTACGATTCGTAACTGGCAACACAGATGGATATGGCGTGGCCGACGTCGACGTGTTATCCAAATATTGACGTTGAGATCCTTTATTGAACGACGTCGTTGACGTCAAGAGCGGCAGCACTGGACCAATCGTCCTTGGACAAGCGTCATGTTTTCGGATGAATCAAGGTGTACTATGGACTTCCTTCACAGGCTCAGCAGAGTGTGGAGTCGACGAAATGAGTGTTTCCATGCTGTTAACAAGTTGACACCACCAGCACTATGTCACATCGCAACATGATTGTTACTCTACTATCTGGCATGTTTCTAAAGCTACAGTAAGCACAATACGCAGTAATCGTTGAATACAAGAATGACATTGTGTCATTACCATCATGCTTCATATACAGTAATGAAGCAATTTCAGACATATAGAATTCTAGCCAAAACGTCTTTTACAATTTATGTCAATGTTCTAATATGATACATAAGAAAACGAAACACATTAAGCTACAAGTCTCTATTTATTCAACAAATACATAAACATTCCCTGTATCATGGCTTGTCAACTAATGTATCTATCGAAAATGTTTGATTCCTTGAAGTGTCATCATACTACAATACTGTATGTCGCCTAACGTGTGCTGGGTTGATCAGTATTTCTGTTGTGTCACGACATCAGGTCGCAGCACTGTATGTCGCCTAACGTGTGCTGGGTTTGATCAGTATTTCTGTTGTGTCACGACATCAGGGCGCAGCACTGTATGTCGCCTAACGTGTGCTGGGTTTGATCAGTATTGCTGTTGTGTCACAACACTAGGGCGCAGCACTGTATGTCGCCTAACGTGTGCTGGGTTTGATCAGTATTTCTGTTGTGTCACGACATCAGGGCGCAGCACTGTATGTCGCCTAACGTGTGCTGAGTTTGATCAGTATTGCTGTTGTGTCACCACACTAGGGCGCAGCACTGTATGTCGCCTAACGTGTGCTGAGTTTGATCAGTATTGCTGTTGTGTCACCACACTAAGGCGCAGCACTGTATGTCGCCTAACGTGTGCTGAGTTTGATCAGTATTGCTGTTGTGTCACCACACTAGGGCGCAGCACTGTATGTCGCCTAACGTGTGCTGGGTTTGATCAGTATTGCTGTTGTGTCACCACACTAGGGCGCAGCACTGTTGTCGCGTATCGTGTGCTGGGTTTGATCAGTATTGCTGTTGTGTCACCACACTAGGGCGCAGCACTGTATGTCGCCTAACGTGTGCTGGGTTTGATCAGTATTGTTGTTGTGTCACGGCCGGCCAGTTTGATACAGTACGTTTACCACTGTTGTGAAAGCCTCGGCCATAGGAAGAGTGCTGGATTCATAATCATTCATGCTTATACAGTCAATTCTTGTAACGACCAAGGGACGCAACTATGTGCAGCGCCTACCGGTTCTGTCATGTTGTTATACTGCATTTTTACTGAATGAATATTTCATGTTTCAGAAATGAAAGGGTATACTTAGAAATTAATTCCTTACATGAAGCAGAGGGTATTTTTATGTCTTCTCTTCGCCACATCTTTAATAATTGTATA